GCAGTTTGAATCTTCTGGCTCCTCCATGGCAGAAAGGTAGGCAGTCTCCTCCTGTGTAATTTACTACCTCTGAAAGCCCACTGGAAGGTCAGCTCTGAGTTGATTCTGACTTTACAGCACACAACAACAACATTTCTAAAGTATGAGAGGTAGAGTTCTGGTGGCTTAGTGGAAAGGAGCTGTGATGCCAGCCCAAAGGAACATGGTTCCAATGCACCAGTTGCATAGGAGAAAGATGGACAATCTCCTACCATGCAAATTGTCGTTAGCAGGTATCATTGATTCAAACAGGACTCATAGTGATCCTGTGAACAATAGATCTAAATCTTGCTCTATCTTGTGCTATCCTAACAATCGCTGGCATAAGCCTATTGTTGTTGTCATCATGCCAGTCCACCGAGTTGAAGATCTCTATTTTGTCAACCCCCACCCTCTTTCTGAGCATAATGTCCTTCTCCAAGCAATAGTCTTTCCTAGCAACATGCCCAAAGTATGTGAGATGAAATTTCACCACCATTGCCACCAAGGAGCACTCTGGCTGCACCTTCACCAAGACATATCTGTTTCATTCTTTTGGCAGTCTAAGGGATAGTCAATACTCTTCTCCAACACCATAGCTCAAAGATATCAGTTCTTCTTCTGTCATCCTTATTCATTATCCATTTCTCGGCAGTGTAAAAAATGATTGAAAAGGCCATGGTCTGAATCAAGTGCACCTTGGTCCTCAAACTAACATAACATCATTGCTCCTAAGTAATTTGGAGAGGTCCCTGACTACAGATATAAAATGCATCTCCTGATCTCCTGACTACTAGTATCAAGTATATTGATTGTGGATCCAAGTAAGAAGTCATTGGCAGTTTCAATCTTTTCTCCATCTATTATGATGTTGCCTATCAGTCCAGTGGTGAGGAATTTGTTTTCTTGTTGAGATGCAACCCACATTGAAGAACAGTTTGATTTTCTGCACAAAGCCCTTCAAGTCTTCTTCACTTTAAACAAGCAAGGTTGTATTATTTGCACAATGTAGGTTATTGATGAATTTTCCTCCAAACCTGATGCCACATTCTTATTCATAGAGTCCAGCTTCTTGACTAATTTGATCAGCATACAGATTGAGTCCTGACACACACCCTGTTCTTAATTTCAGATCATAAAGTGTTCCCTTGAAGGTTTCATGTGAACACAATTAAGTGTTCTGGGACTACCATTCTTTTCCATGTTAGCTGTATTTTGTTATGATTTACACAGTCAAATACCTTTGCATAGGTAATAAAGCACAAATAGACATTCTTCTGTTACTCTTTGCTTTCAATCAGGATCCATCTGATGTCAGCAATGACATATCCCTGGTGCCATGGCCTCTACTAAATCCAGATTGAACTTCTGGCAGTTTTCTGTCTATGTACTGTTCTAGACACTTTTTAAATGTGATATTAATAATATTTTACTGCATGATTTTCTACCTCTGAAGGTCACTTGTGAGTTAGTTCTAACTTGATGGTACTTAACAACAACAGCAAGAAAAGGGGGGGGGTACTCACAACTAGACCAATAGGCAACAAGTCATATTAGAAGATTAGATTTTGAAGAAATAGTTTAAAATTAACTTCCAAGTGTTGTGTCTATGTGCAAAAATTCATGGAAAGGTCTTAGCTTGGTCCCTCGCACTTTGTAAGGGACAAAGAGCTCAAGGTCTATAGTCCTGAAATCCTCTTTCTTTGAACAAGTTATATTTATAATATTACTACACTTCCAATTTCACATCTGCAAAATGAGTACAATAGCAACATCGCTCACACAAGTTGCTGTTAGGATAAGCTTAGCTAATTGTTTTTTGTTGTTGGGTGCCATCAAGTCCAGTATGAGTCATAGTGATCCTATAAACAACAGATATGAACCCTGTCCTATTCTGTACTATCCCTATCTTCTCTGACACACCCACACCCATTGCTGCAGTCTGGTTGAGGGTCTTCCTTTCTTTCATTGACCCTTCACCATTCCCAGCATAATATCCCTCTCCAAGGAATAGCCTCTACTAGCAGCATGCCCAGAGTAAGTGAGATGAAGCCCTGTCATCTTTGCCTCCAAGGAACACTCTGGCCTGTACTTTCTCCAAGACATATGTGTTTGTTCTTTTGACAGTCCGTGGAATATTTGGTACACTTCTCCAACACCACAGCTAAAGGCATCAATTCTTTTTCTGTCATCCTTACTTATTGTCCAGCTCTCAGCAGCACAGAAAGTGATTGAAAAGACCATAGCCTGAATTAGCCATAGCTTAGTCATCAAACTGGCTTTATAGATCCTCAGCAATTTGGAGAAGAACCTGACAGTTGACTTGCCAATGCATTATGTTTCCTGATCTCCTGACTGCTATTACCAAGAAAATTGATTGCAGATCCAAGTCAGATGTAATTTTTTTACAACTTCAGTCTTTTCTCTACATCCCATGATGTTGCTTAGTTTTCCAGTGGTGAGGATGTTTTTTCTTCTTGATGTTGAGATGCAATCCATATTGGAGAAATGTAGTCTTTAATCTTCTGCAGCAAGTTTAAGTCCTTCTCATCGTCAGCAAGCAAGGTTATTTCTTCTGTGCAGATAGAACAGGCTTCTGTCCAAAAGTCTGAGTTTTAATTTACCAGTTGCTTCAAATGAAAAAGATAAGGTAGCCTTTTCCAGGAAAGTTTACAGCCTTGAAACCAATGAACAGTCGCCATGAGTGGAAATATTTTGCCAGCAGTGAGTGGACAAGTAAAGTATTTGAGGTTTAAGACATAAAATGAAAAAAAAAACAAACCAAAACACAACAACCCAACAAAAACAAAACACCACAAACCCCAAACATAATGTCATAAGTGTTGATTGGATTTCATTGATTATAATGATAATGCCGTTACTTACTTGTAGGTCTCCTGTGATTTTGCTCTGGAATCACTGGGTAGCCCTGTGAGTGTAAGACTGATCTAGAAACAACAAAAACTGTTTTATATTCAAAGCCCTTATTGTTTCATTTTCTTCACCCCTTCATCACTACCACTTCCACAACACAAAGCCTATGGCCCAATCAAGTCAAATTGTTCACTGTTCTAGTATCCTGAATGGTTTCTTTCCTCTCCTTATTCTGGTCTTTCTGTCCCTAATGCTTGGCAAAATTCCTCTTCTTTGACAAGGCCCAAATCTGATGACTTCTCCTTGGTATAATCTTTCCCCATTGCCTCTATGAAATATTAGTTATTCTTCCATAAAATTCCCACTATTCTATAGTTTAAAGTTTATAGTCTAAAGGAAAAGTATTCATCATTTACCCCTGCAACCACACTCCACCCATCTTTAAGGAGAAGTGGGTCCTCAGAGGCGCTCTTTATTTTATTGACTGTGATGATGAGAAGATCTATATTTAATAAACTGAGAGAAGGTAAATTGTATTGCTTAAGAAAACAGTGAGAGTAGATTAAAGGATAAAATGGAGTGAATAAGTTAGTAGGATAGAGAGACATAAAAGCAAAAGGGGGATAATTTGGACAGATAGGCAAGAAGTATGTGGCCACTTTCAGTTTTCAATTTAGGATAAAGAGCAACACTCTATATCTGTGGCATTGGAAAGCCATAGATGGCTCTCAGTCATGCAAACAAGACAGTGAGGTCAGTGCAGAAAACGCATTCTGCACAAAAGAGAACAGATAGGTGAGTACATCAGAGGGTTAGCATAATTCAAAATGTGAACAAGCACAGAGTCTGGAAGTTGTATTGCAGTCTGAGCTGGACTAGAGAGTACCTACTGTGTGTAGATGCTCAGGGAGTAGAGGCATGGAGACAGAGACGAGGAGGGGTTATCTCTTCTCTAGCACAGACAAGGTTGTGATCATCTCTGAAGAAAGAAGAGTAAGGGTAAAGAGGATAGGAGAGCCAGAGCTAACAATTACACTTACCTTTAGTGAAGCTTATTTGATCTGTCCGTAGAAAAGTTAACCATAGAGTCCAGCTTCATGGAATAGGTCATATTTGAACAAAGATTTGTAGTTAAAGAAGAGAATCATTCCGCTGCTGGGAGACCTTGGAACTTGCCAGATAGGAATTATTATCCCCGTTTTATAGATGTGGAAAGTGAAGCACAGAATGGTTTTAAGTTATTCAAGAATAGAGGTGGCTTCAGTATTTGTGCTTAAGTAGTCAGAACTCCCATTAGGGTGGAGAAAAAAAAAGCCAGTTCACAAGCCAGGAGACAGGAAATACCTGTTGTTTTTGAGTAACAGTGGGGATGTACAGAGATAGCAAGAGAGAGAAAGTGGTAGGAGCTGATGTTGAAGAGGTTAACGGAGAGTGGACCCTGTGGGTCCCTGTAAACTGTTGTAAGACCTTCAGCTTTACTATGTATATAACAGAGAATTATTCCAACAGAGGAGGGACAGGATCTGACTTACATTTGTAGAAGGTCATTCTGGCTGTTTTATGGAGAATGGAATATAGGATGTGGAGGGGACAGGCTATGAGCAAGAAGACAAAAAAGTAGGGGATTTGTACAATCATTTAAGCCTTAGTTCAAGTTCCAGGTGTCCTCAGTGGAGGTGATAATAAAGGGTTAGGTTCTGGACTTAGTCTGAAGGTAGAGACAGTAGATTAATTGTAGATGTGAAGCAAAGAGAAATAAAGAGGGACTTTTGACTTGAGTCCAAGTGCTTTGTCTTGAGCATTTCTTTCTGCCACACTGTGTAGGACATACATAGCTTCTGGGATAAGATTGCTTCATAGAAATACGTATTAAACCTCTCAGTGACTCAGTTTCTTCATGTGTATAACAAATTATAATAGTGATTGTTTCATAGGATTGTTTAAGTCATTGAATGAATTAATACAAATGAAGTACTTAGGACTATCTCTGGGGTTTATTAAGGCTAGGGAAAGGGCATAATTACTACTCCTACACCTGGTGATATTTGGATAATTGAGTAACTTGATTTGTACTGTCTGGGCTGACGCTTATTTTGGGTGCTACCTAGGTGTTCTCTGATGGGATTTGACCTGAACCGTCACTGGCTGGATCCCTCTCCATGGGCCCACCCTACCCTGCATGGAGTGAAACAGCTCATCATCCAGATGTACAATGACCCAGTAAGTAACTCACTGAACATCCCCAGCAGTTGCTGGTCTTACGGCTTGATCTGGGAAAGGGAAACCATCAATTGTGTTGATTTCTTAGTCTGAGTTCACTAGAGAGACAACAACAATGAGATGTACGTACAAAAACATAAAGAGATACTTACTTCAAGGAAGTGGCTCATCCATTATTGGGACTAGCAAACCCTGAATCTATGGGACCCATGGTGACAGGCTAGAAACCTCTGCTGACTTGCAGGATTATAAGGGTTGCAGAATCCAAAATTTGCAGGTGAGGTGGATAGACTGGGACTTCTTCAGGCTTACATCCCAAGGGAAGGTCAAGCAATGAGAAGAGTACAGGGATGAGAGAGAGAGAAAACATGAGGTTTGCAAGAACATACTAGAGACGGGTCACATTATCAAGGAAACACCTCTTTGAATTAACTGGCTGATCACAACTGATTATAAAAGAATACCTCGTCCCATATACACCATCTCAATTGAGAAGTCCCACTTTAACGTTAGTTAGCAAATCAGGAGTACATTATCAAAAGAGCTACCTACCATCAGCAAAAGATAAACTAGGTGATTGGACCTACTAAAAATCAAATCCTTACGGGCATCAGAGGATTTCTCCAAAAGAGTACAAACGGAACCTACACACTGGGAAAAATATTCAGCAATACCATATCTGTAAAAGACTCATCTCTAAAAATTAGGGGAAAAAATCAAATACCTCAACAAGAAAAAAAAATCCACTTACAAAATTGGCAAAGAATATGAAAAGGCACTTCACTATAAAAGAGTACAAACGGAACCTACACACTGGGAAAAATATTCAGCAATACCATATCTGTAAGACTCATCTCTAAAAATTAGGGGAAAAAATCAAATACCTCAACAAGAAAAAAAAATCCACTTACAAAATTGGCAAAGAATATGAAAAGACACTTCACTATAGAAGATATTCAAATGGCCAATAAACACATGAAGAAATGCTCTAGAGTAACTATTAGAGAAATGCAAACAAAAACAACAATGAAGTGTTATCTCACCCCAGGAACAATAAGAGAGCAAACAGCAAATACTGGCAAGGGTGTAGAGAGACAGAAATGCTTACCTACTACTGGCAGAGATGTGAATTGGTGCAACCACAAACAAAATAGGGTAGTCTGGAACTTCGTTAGAAGGTTAGGAGTAGAAATACTATTTGATCCAGAATCCCGCTGCTAGATAGATATTCCAAAGAAATAAGAGTTCTGACCCAAATGTGTGTGTATGCTCATGCTCACTGCAGCATTATCTATAATACTAAAGTGATGAAACAAACTACGGTTCCACCAATGGATGAATAACTAAAGAAACTATGGTACAGTCATACAATACAGAGTATTGTACAACACTAAAGAATGGCAATCCATGAAACACTGAACATCATGGATTAATTCACAGTGAATTACACTTAATGACAAAAGCCAGTAATTAAGAAGCTATATTGACATAAGACTACTATTATAAAAAACTAAGGAAATGTTTACACAATCATTCTTGGATGGGGGAAGGGAGAGAACAGTAGAGATTAATGGAGATATTGAATGAAAGGAAAGGTAGTATACAGAAAGAGGGTTGATTTGACATTATGATCAATTAATTACATTAATCAATTATAGCTAATATTATAAAACAATATGTGTACCAATGATTGATTTAAAAGTCACATGATTTTTGTATTCCAAGCAATTGGAATAGCTGGGTCATATGGAATTTCCATGTTCAACTTTTTGAGGAAGCACCCTTCCAGATTGGTTGTACCATTTTACAATCCACCAACAATGTATAAGAGTTCCTACACATGGAAACAGCCTGAATGTCCAACCACAATGGAATGGATTGAGAAATTATGGTATATTCACACAATGGAATATTATGCAGGAGCAGTACTTCTGTAAATTACTACCTAACTTGAGAGAAGGACTAGAGAGCATTATTCTAAGTGAACTTGCTCATTCTCATAAAGATAAATATTGTATAAGATCATTACTGTAGATGAGTGTGACAATCCAAGGCAGGGAGGGGGGAGCGAAGGATGAGGATGAGTGAGGGGGGGCTTAATCATAGAGTATTACACTTTGATGAGTGGAAGGAAGGATGAGTAAAGGAAGGGGGTAAGATCCAATATGAGAAACAATGTAAGTAAACGAGTATAATTTTTTTTTAAAAAGGAAGCTAACTAAAACAAAAAAGCAAACAAGAAGTGTCACATGATTTATAAAAGTTCACTCAGATTATTAAAAAAAATAAAAACATTTAAAATTGCCAATGACGTTCTGGTGGCTTTTTGTTACATACTGACAATTCAAGTATGACTCATAGCGACCTTGTGAACAACAGATCTGAATCCTGTCCTATCTTGTGCCGACCTCCCAATCTCTGACACAACTTGAGCCCATTACTGTAGTAACTTCGTTGGTATACCTGGTTGAGGGTCTTCCTCTTTTTCACTGTCCTTTACCTTTCCAAATATGATATTCTTCTCCAAAGAAGAGCCCTTTCCTAGCAACATGTTCGAAGTATGCAAGCCGAAACTTAGCCATCCTTGCCTCCAAGGAGAACGCTGGACCTTCTCCAAGAATTCTCTGTTCTTTTGGAAGTCTGTGGGATATTCAGTACTCTTCTCCAACACCATAGTTCAAAAACATCAATTCTTCTATCATTCGTATTCATTGTCCAGCTCTTATCAGCATAAAATTACCAGATGAGGTAATTAACAAAACATGGTATGAACCAGACATGTTTTAAAGTGACTTCATTGCTTTTCCAAAATTTCAAAAGTTCTGTTGCTGCACATTTTACCATTCTAATACCTTGTTTGTGAATCCAAGAGAAATTACATTCTGGCACCAAAGATATAATTATGTGAGATTGTTCACTAATCAAGTGCATCTTAGTCCTCAAACTAATATCATTGTTCCTCAGTAATTTAGAGAGGTCCCCGACTGCAGATTTTCCCAGTGCAATACATCTTCTAATCTTCTGACTGCTGGTACCAAGGGTATTGATTATAGATCATAATAAGATGAAATCTTGATAGTTTTGAATCTTTTCTCCATCTATGATGTTGTCCAGTGGTGAGAATTCTTGTTTTCTTGATGTTGAGATGCAATTCATATTGAAGGATGCAGGGCTACAGTATTTCATCTTTGGCAGTAAAAGTTTTAAGTCCTCCTCACTTTCAGCAAGCCAAGTTGTATCATCTGTATAATGAAGGATAGTAATGAGTCTTCCTCCAATTCTGACTCTTTTTTTACAGAGTTTAGTTTGTCACATAATTTTCTCAGCAGGCAGATTGAATAGGTGTGGTGAAAAGATACAACCCTGATGCATGGCTTTCTTTATTTTAAACCACAACAGCTAATTGGTCTAGGTATAGGTCTTACATGAGTACAATTAAGTGCTCTGGGATTACCATTCTTCTCAGTGTTGGCAATATTTTATTATGGTGGCTAATTGGTAAGGAATTGCACTGCTAATGCAAAGGCTGTTTTTGTTGTTATTGTTGTTGGTATGTGTTGTTGACTCATACACAGTTCAAATCCACAAGGTATTCCGTGAGAGAAAGATAGACAGTCTTGTTCCCTGTTATTTGCTGCATCTGAAAACCCATTGATGGGCCAGTAATGGGTTGGTTCTGAATCCATGGTGTACAACAATTACGGAGCAGTATTTTTCTATACTAGCACATATTGTAGACTGAAATATGTTGCCCTCCTTGCCATCAAGTTGGAACCACCTTATATAGCTGACCTTCCAGGGGGGTTCCAAGGCTGTAAATTATACAAGAGGAGATTGTCCATCTTTTTCCTAGAGAATAGCTGGTGGATCAGAGCTGCCATAAAGCCTCCATTTTTAGTTTAACAGTTCAACTCCCTACTGGTAGGCCCCCAAAATTTCCTTCCTTAGAGTTGGCACCCTAAATTTAGATGTCTTATCTTTCTAAACTATGATAAAATTCATTTCTATTTGTTAAAGTGGGGAAGAAAAAAAAACACAACCAAAAACCAATACCAAGGAGGGTTTCGGCCTTCTTTCCTCTGAATCTGTTGTTCATAGAATCACTATTGGTTGTACTCTACTCGATGGCACCAAACAACAACGTAGATTGAACTTCTCACTATGTAAGGGATATACTGACAAGTGTCACAACCAGTGGTTCCTACCAGCAGGGAGAGCTTGCCTCCCATTTTCCAGATAAGAAATCTCCAAGAGAGACAGTGATTAGCTAATTATGCCCACTTCTGGGCAAATAAAATATTTCCTAGCAGGTAAGAATTTGTACAGATACACAGCCTTATTAGTGTTAAAGTATTTTGGGAATGATTGTTATTCCAGGGTGGGGGTGGAAAGGAAATTAGGCAAATAAAACAATGGATGTGATAGCATGTTTTCTTAGAGGGAGAAGATTTTTACCCATAAGAAATAGAAGATACTGAGTTTTAAAGTTTAGAAAAGGGCAACAGATCACGATCATTCTATTTCTACTGAGATATCAGAGAGAGAGAGCAGGAAAGACTTTTTCTAGGTGAGGTAAAATGGATGAGGTAAGGGCTGTAGAGAGATGTTGATGTTGTTTCTGTTGTTGTTATTATTATGTCCCATCAAGTCACCTGCAACTCATAGCAAACCTATGTACAACAGTTCTGAAGCCTCCCCTATCCTGAGCTAGTCTCACCGACTCTCACACACCAACCTCAATTGCTCCAGTTACTGTATATTTCGATAATTAAAGCTGCTAGAGGGTATAGTGGATATGTGAGCTGTGAGTTTGACCTTACAAAAACGTTCAAGTTGAAGCTAAATGACACTCTGTCACAAATGGTGCATAGAGGAGTCTCACTTGTTTGGAAGACATTCTGATGAGATTACATTTGAATCCCTTCCAACTTTGATGAGTATGATTTTATGACTCCTTGACTGCTGAGACAGGGAAGTTCCCAGATTTGGGGTGCTTAAGA